CCTGCACCACTACAAAGGGAGCGCTGTCTCGGAATGGGAGCAAGCCGCAGCCCATGCATCCCTCTGGGGGGGGGGGGGGGGGGGTCATCTCAGAACCCATCTCACCAGGAACTGACAGACAACTCAGATGTGAAATGTCTGCAGAGAGAGGGACAGGACAGACAGAAAGAGAGAGGGAGAGGGATGGAGGGAGGGAGGAACAGAGAGAGAGACAGGAAGATGGAGAGAGGGACAGAAGGAGAGACCAAGAGAGGGACAGAGAGAGGAACCATGTCCATGTTCAAAAGCTAGGAATGGTGAGAAGGCAGCAGACTTGATTGAACGATAATGACGATGCATCCTGGAGATTCGGAGGGAGCGATAGATGGCCGATGTGACATCAGAGTGATCAGCCGAGGGCCGGCAGCGAGCGGCAAATCCGAGCAGCTCCCACGCGTCCCCGGAGCAGCTGTGGCATCTTCAGAGATGAGTCGCTCAGTTCCAAAAACAGGTCGCAGCCACACAGTCGGGGGTGGGGGGCTGCGGGGGGCTTCTGACTCACACAGAGTTCTGATGAAAAACACGCTTAGGGTTTGGAGCGTAGCACGTGGAGCACGGGAGCCGTGCTAGAGGGACAGGAGTATTCGAGATCACTGTGAGGAGTTACCATTACCAGGCAGCACGTCACACGGCACTCAGTGAGTCCTAGGGCTGGAGCGCTACGCCTTCAGGGGCCAGAGGGCCATCTGTGGAGCCTGTGTGACCCCAGAGCTTTGAGAGCTGTGGTGAAGCCAGTGAATCAGTAAGTTTCCCACAGCGCTGGGAAAGGAGAGAGAAGCCGCCAGGCAGACAACTGCAGTAGCAGACGGCTGACCGATGAGAGCCGCTTACGCAAGCGAGCGAGAACGTGGCCCCTGGACACCGGGCTGCTGGGCCCCGGGCCCCATGAGGCCCTTGTGAGGCCCTGCCAGGCCTTTTCTCTTGCCACAGGCAGCTCCCAAATGAAACCCGGAGCGGACAAAGCGGCAGCAGAGCAGCAGCACCTCACAGCAGCACTGATGCTATCGCGGCTCCTCCGGGTGCGGCCAGTTGCCGCTATCAGCCGCGCGGCCGCTCCTATCAGATGGGCGCCCCCGTAAGGCTGATTCTCGAGGCCTCATCCCTTGAAACCGTTACGCAGCTTCCAGATGTGGGGCCGCAGGGTGGAGTAAACGAACGAGCGACGTAAAGGAAGAGTGTGATGCTTAGGGCTAAGGGACGCGGCTGAACTGCAGTCACCATGAACGACATCCTGCCAGCAACCATGTCTGTCACATGCAAACCTCCGTCTGCACCACAGGAAATAAACAGGCAGAGGAAAGCAGACAGGTAGTAGAGCAGCTTACTGGCAGCAGTGTGAAGACAGCGATGTTAGGCAAGCCCACACCGGACAGCCATCTTGGAAGCAGGCATGTGGTGAGACCAGGAAGGGCAGCGAGGCATCAGCATTCAAGTGTCCTTTCTTACAGGGTCGCTGTCTGATTTCTGCACAGACCCAGGGGTCAGAGTGACCATTCTGGGTAACAAGGCCAGGCGGTCCCTGCCGGCCGTGTGGCCCTGTTGCCAGAGGCCCGCTTCAGTGACGTGCATCTTTCCCCAGTGACCCAACAGGAAGCAAAGCTCCAGTCGCTCTGCAATACCTGAAAGCTTGCAGGCGTGAGGGAGCGTCACACGCATACAGGCGCTCTGCCTAACTGCCCCCTCCCCCACTCAGCTATCTGTAGGTAGCTGCTCCATGCTCTTTACACACAGTTTCAGTTTCATTCTAATTTACTAAGGGAAAGCAGCTTGAAGACGTTCAGCAGATGAACTTTCCTGAAGTGCGAGAAACTGCAAACAGGAAAGGGGGCCATTCAGCTGTACGCGTCACCCTGTAACTGCCTGAAGCGACTCTCTGGCATGTGAAAGGTGTCATGCCTGTAACTAGGGCAGCTTACATATAGCGGTACGGGCTGTACGTCCTGGTGCATCAGCCGGGGGTGGGGGGGGGGGGGGGGGGGGGTTGGCAAGATGAAGAGAGACCACCAGAAAGGAGGACAGGGCACTGACAAGGCAGACTAACATCAAACAGTTTTTAAAGTAGCATTAGTCACTATATACAACTCCTGGTGTTTGCTGCGCTGGGAGGCTGCACTGAATACACAGAGTTTGGGGTGTTTCAGGACAGACACAGGTGTCCATTTTAGATTTACATCATTTAGACTGCTTGAGAGAGTATAGGATAGTTAATTCCAATGTGGGACACTTTGGGACAGTTTCTCCTGTTGGGAGAGCTTTGGGACAGTGTGGAACAGTTTCTTCCAGTGTGAGACACTTTGGGACAGCTTCTTCCAGCGTGAGACACTTTGGGACAGTTTCTTCCAGCGTGAGACACTTTGGGACAGTTTCTCCCAGTGTGAGACACTTTGGAACAGTTTCTTCCAGTGTGAGACACTTTGGGACAGCTTCTCCCAGTGTGAGACACTTTGGGACAGCTTCTTCCAGTGTGAGACACTTTGGGACAGCTTCTTCCAGTGTGAGACACTTTGGGACAGCTTCTTCCAGTGTGAGACACTTTGGGACATTTTCTCCCAGTGTGAGACACTTTGGGACAGTTTCTCCCAGTGTGAGACACTTTGGGACAGCTTCTTCCAGCGTGAGACACTTTGGGACAGCTTCTTCCAGCGTGAGACACTTTGGGACAGTTTCTCCCAGCGTGAGACACTTTAGGACAGTTTCTTCCAGCGTGAGACACTTTGGGACAGCTTCTCCCAGTGTGAGACACTTTGGGACAGCTTCTTCCAGTGTGAGACACTTTGGGACAGCTTCTCCCAGTGTGAGACACTTTGGGACAGTTTCTCCCAGTGCGGGAGCGCGGTTTTGACATTGCGCATTTTAAAGATGACACCCTCAGGACTTATTATCACTCACTTCCTCCCTCAGGGCTGAGAACTGGGCTAGTTCTGTAAAAAAAGAAAAACACAGAATTTCATAGCTTGTGTTTCTTTACATGGAGGATGAAGGAAATGCTGCTCTGCCGGTTCCATTTAAATGAAGAACTCCCACCCCGAGAAGGAGTCCCGAGAAAACAGGATGGTCATGGTGCGGTTCAGCAACCCCCCCAAGCCAGGTGTATACCAACCCCCCCGAGCCCCACGTCTAATGGCCTCTTTACGCGAGCAAGGAGATGTCCTCTGTCACAGAGTGTCCCCAGCACCCCACATTCCACGTTTATGGGGAACATGTGCAGAGACCTGCAATTTTTAAACCACGAAATATGATCCTCCGTAGCTGAGCACTGGACGGCACTTTGAGCCGGCGGCCGCGCCCAAGGCATGGGACCAACGTGACACATTCAGCCACCAGAGATTTTCTCAGCAAAACGGCAGTTATATTAAGCTTAAATACAGGGGTTTGACAACTGGGACGCCCTCGGGGCCTGAGACTGTCAACCCATGGTAACATGAAACACATGCAGTTTGGCCCATCCAGAAGGGGTCTGCAGCTAAGAGGCAGCAATGCTCTCGCCTGCTGTACTCACGCGTCACGCAGAAAAGCCTACAGAACAGAGGCTCCGTTTAACTCTCACCTGACGCTGATATCACGGCGTGAAGCAGCAGACAGAGAGCGACCAGGCCGGAGGGGCTGTGAGAGACTCGGCTTAAGTACCTCAAAGCCTACGATAAACATCTGAAAGACCTCATTTTGAAAGCCGTTTGCTTTTTAAATTTCAGGATGAGTTGGTGGATCGTTTATCAGCGTGATCCTGTTCCCACAAATCTTGTGTGAGGTCACATGTGTGAGTGTCATTTGTGACCCCAGGGAATCACAGGGTGAAACCACCCACACATGCTCACACAGACACACACACACACGTTTGTATTCATGTCTTTATGGGGACTGTCCTTTCATTTCTATGGGCAAAACCCTAATCCCAACAATGACAACCTTAACCCCCACCCAGCCCTAACCGTAACCATAAGTAATGGTTCCCACAAAGTCAAAATAACAGGTGTTTTTTGTGGCCGCATTTGGTCCCCAAAATGTAATATACACACAGACACACACACACAGAGTCAACATATTCATATCTTTATGGGGACTCTCCATTAATTTTGTTGGGCATTACCCTAAAAATTGTCCTCACAAGGTAAAAAGTTACAGGTTTGTATCATATTGTGGGGAAATCTGATTCCCACAGTCTAATAATTAAAAAAAAAAAACAGATACACAGATGCACACACATACTCACCTACACACAGATGTACACCACATACACACCCACACAAACTCACCCCAAGCACACACACACTCACCTACACACACACACACACACACACTCACCCGCATACACACATACAGATGCACACACACACTCACCTACACACAGATGTACACCACATACACACCCACACAAACTCACCCCAAGCACACACACACTCACCTACACACACACTCACTCACCCGCATACACACATACAGACGCACAGCTGCTCCTATTCAGTTCTTCAGACTGACGTAAATGGTTCTTCTAAGTAAGTTTATTTCTTCACCTGCTGGGTTTAATGTAGACTACAGGCTGGCTTTGGTCCAGCTCCTTTGCCACCATCAGGATCCCAGGTGGACCTTGGTTCTCTGCCTGGCATTGCCAGTGAGACTTGGGGCTGTGATACTATCAAGTGGTAAGTGAGGGTGGAGAGTTGGTTTGGAGGCCTGAAACCACACATAGACACACACACACACACATAGACACACACACACACACACACACATAGACACACACACACACACACACACATAGACACACACACACACACACACACAGATACAGCCCCATCCTCTAGTTCCCATCGACAACCCCCAGACCTAGTTCCCACCTCCCAGGGCTTGCTTTCTTTTTCTTTTGCACTCTTCTTTTGTCGCTCTCTTTCTCTCTCTCCCTCTCTGTCTTTTATAGCACTTTCAAGTTTTGAGTTCTTCATATTTGTTGGGGCGCCACTTGAAAGTGTCCCTGTGTGACAGGACAGAAAGCCACAAGGCTGAGGCGGAGAGCCAATGAAACGCCGGCACTTTCTAAAGTTAAAAAGGAGGGAATTAGAGAGAGAGCAAGAAACAGAGAGAGAGAGACAGAGAGAGAGGGAGGGAGAGAGAGCAAGGGAGATGGGGAGGCCCGTGTGACCTCATGTGACATGTGACGGCAGAGAGCTCCGACCCAACCAACAGGACCTGGGAGTCGCCTCGTCGATGTGTGAGGGAGGCCGCGTCCGCCACCAAGAGCCACCTGAAGCTAAACCCAGCCGAGCCTGCAGGGACCCCTCCGGCCCCGGTGAGTCTCGCCGCGCCCCCGACCCCGCCTGCCATCTCGCCATCAACCCCGCTACTTTCCCTTCGCATGATGTCGCCTGCAGTGAAGCTGACAGGATGTAGCGAAGGATCCCAAAGCAAAGCCTCACTAAGAGACAAGCCTCGTCTGTCGTTCTCTGTCTCTCTCTCTGTGCCACCCGCTCTTCCTGCCACAAGACGAGCACTGCCAACTGCCAGAGCCACACACCAGCACCAGCACGGACCCTGGCACAAACGCCGGCACGAACAGCAACGCGGACCCTGGCAAAGACGTCGGCACGGACAGCAGCCCAGGCTGTGCTACCAGCCAGAATGGCATCTAACAGCATTTTTGACTCCTTCTCCAACTACTCCAGCAGCTTCTTGAGAGGTGAGTCCCCATACCCTGTACCCCGCCCGGCCTGCACCCCCGAGCCCCCTTCTCCCCACAGCGGGGGCGCTGTCCGCTTTCCTCTCGTGTTCTGCTTGGCGCCTGGCTCAGAAAACCGCCTTGATGGCAACGTGACACATAAGTGCCTGGGAACAGAGTCGTGACGTCGGGGGGGGAGAAAACAATGAGAAGTGGAAGGGAGGGAAAGTGAGCAACAGGTCCAGGGATCCAGCTTCCCACCCGTTATCACAGGCGGAAGCCAGGGTCATCGTAGCGGTGACGCTGGCTCTGTTTCCATGGCAACCCCCTGCCATTAGATTTGGCACTGGGCTAGCAGTCACTCTTTGGCACTGGACTCACGTTTAATGAGAAAGCGTGACAGGGCAGCGATGGCTCCACACCTGCACCACGGACACAGGTGCACCGGGGCCCTAAAGACACTCTGGAGCGACATCCACAGGCGGAAAGCCCAAAAAGCGGAGTGGCACCAACTGCCTGCGGCTGCTGCAGCTCCGCGTTAATTAGGGGCCGCTAAAGAAGTGCAGCGTCACACCATAATTGTTTGCAGGGTATTTTTCCAGTGCTCCAGGCTGACAGAGCCCCCTCCCCTGCACACAGGCGCACACACTGCAGCTCTGTGAACGCGGGACACACAGATATTTAGAAAAATTTATTGTTTCCTCTTTACAAGTGGTTTATAATTTTTTTGTGCTTTTAGTGCGTCTCTCTAGGGTCTATCACGGCGCAGAAGCGTTTCACACAGTAAAGATGGGGTTAGATGTGTCGGAAATGATTCATAAATATAAATGTTCTGGCCCAGAGAAGGCAGAGGATGAGATGACGTCTCATAAGTGAGATCAAGATGGAGCCTGAATGTGTCACCAGCACAGGCGGGACATGCACACTGTCATGTTTAAATTTACACGTGTGTGCAGCACTCCTAAAACACTTTGGGGGGGGGGGGGGGTCAGTTGAGGCCCTGAGGGGGCTGAGGTGCGGGTGGGAGACACAGCACAACCTGACAAGGCGATAAGATCCGGCCCCTTTTATGGGGGCGGGGGGGGACGCGGTACTCACCAGACCCTGGTGAAACGGAAGCACGGCGTCCGAAAGATGGTGCATTGCTTGTGAGAAGGGACGCTAATCTGATGCAGACAGCACACTGCTCCGCGCCATCGCCGCCATAAGGCCATGCCTCCTTCCGTATAGCCCAGGCCTCATAATGCCCCAGATAGAGCTGCAGGCCCGCAGGGATCCAGGTTCGAGTGACAACCAGCACTTAGCAGAAAGACTAAAAAGCCTTGTTACAGCAGCATAGCTGCTGTTCACTTCCACGCGGACTGCGTGACAAACTATTTCATGCTCCCATAACCACTTCTGATATAATAAGGTCCTTGAAAGCACTTCAGACCCGCGGTACGTCTCTGTCTGTCCCTGACCCGCGTTACATCTCTGTCTGTCCCTGACCCGCGGTACGTCTCTGTCTGTCCCTGACCCGCGTTACATCTCTGTCTCACCCTGACCCGCGGTGCATCTCTGTCTGTCCCTGACCCGCGGTACATCTCTGTCTGTCCCTGACCCAGAAATGGCCAGCCAGGCAGAATGCAGCGGCTCATTGAGATATGGCAAGTTCAGCTGTCAACAGAATTCGTAACGTCTAGACGGGCTATTTTAACCAAGAATGCCTAGTGTGGAAAACATATCTGCCAGGCAAAGCCAGCCTTGAACGATGACGACTAGACGTTAGGAAGGAAGAACTTTCTAATTGGATAATGAGATGGAAATGCTTAGAATATCAATTCTGTTCCGCTGATAGAAAAAAACACCCAAGTACTAGGGGTTTTCCTTTTTATTTTATATACTGTTTGGACACAGCCAGGAATTCAGTTAGTAAGACAAGAACAGCCATTGAGCTGGCAGGGCCGCCCTCAGCCAATCATTGGTCAGCAGCCCACAGTCAGGGCTGGTTTCCAGTTCTGTCATCTGGTTTATGGCCAGCAGCTTCTTAAACCATGGAAATCCTCCAATTCTCATGCTGTTGCATCATCACTAAATTGCATGTTAATGACACAGTAAATATGAGGTACATAAAAAAGCATCATTCTCCACCATGGCTGGGCCACCTAGATCTCCAGTTAGCGGGGATATCAAGTGGAAAATCCAGTGAGCCATGCAGCAGGAGGAAGGGAGGGATAGAGAGAGAGAGAGTGCGCATACACTCCACGCGTGGCACGCCGCTCTGCACGATGAAGCAGGAACCTGCTGAGGACACTGGATAGCCAGTTCTGAGGAGGGACAGAGACTGCGGGTGTTGGTGGTGGAGGGTGACTGTACTGCCCTCGGGACAACTTGGCGACGACGGGATCAGGGAGAGAGACGCGTGAAAGCATAGCAGAGACACAGCGACATGCACCGGCTGTGTCAGTGACGGGGGGCCACTCTGCGTGGAGTTTGATCTGTGTCGGCATTGCCTGTCTGAGTGGCTCAGACTGTCCCCAGCACCAGCAGCCTCATTCTCCACCTTCTAGCCAACTCCATTCTCCCAGAGGCTGATTTGCTGCCAGCCTTCACAGACAGTGATACGTACAGGGGATACGTACTGGGCTGCCAGCCTTCACAGACAGTGATACGTGCAGGGGATACGTACTGGGCTGCCAGCCTTCACAGACAGTGATACGTGCAGGGGATACGTACTGGGCTGCCAGCCTTCACAGACAGTGATGTCCTCAGCTGGGGGTTTGGCTGCCGTCCATAAGGTTCCCCTCATCCTGGCCCTGTCAAAGCGCAGATACACATGTTGTAAGGCACATATATGTACAGGGGATACGCATAGGGGATACGCACAGGGGATACCTGCAGGGGATACATACAAAGGATACGCACACGTACATAGAAGCCAAAACTGTAATAAATGCCAGTAATGAAATACCTTTCCAAACCAATGTTAACTTTTTGACAATAATGTAATAAGTTATATTATTAGCCATTTATTACATTATTGACATTTATTGCATTAAGCGCCCTTGGGAGCCATGGCTGAGTGACTGAAACCCCGCGGCCAGGGCAGCACAAGGAAGCGAGAATACAGACCGACGGTCTGACAGTGCTCTGCCTTGGTTCCTAATATGCTGTTCCCCTCCTCCGCCTCACCGCCGGGCTACAAGCTACAATTCTGCAGAGGAACCATGACTTGGGGCTAAACCACAGCTCCCAGGGACAGAGCAGGCACATGGACATCACCCGGGGGGAACAATGACACAAGGCAGAGTGCGTGCGTGTCTCTGCGTGTCTGGAGTGAAGTCTGAAACGTGACTGTGAGTCGGACCCTGGGAGTGCGAGTGCAGCTTCCACTGAGCTGTCATTCTCTGGCCCAAAGCCGGTGCCTCGTACCAAACCCATGAAAAAAACCCTAATCACAGCGTTACCAAAAAGTGCTAATGATAGGATGTGAGCAGCTCCAGGCAGTCAGCGCTGGAGTTTCCTCAGTGTTACAGGGCAGATCTTTAACCCCGTACACACGAGCACAGGGTCTAACCCCGTACACACGAGCACAGGGTCTAACCCCGTACACACGAGCACAGGGTCTAACCCCGTACACACGAGCACTGGGTCTAATCCTTTTTTTGGCTTTTGCTATTATCAGTTTGTCTGATGATTAATCACACTTCACTCGCACACAGAAGAGTAATGCACATATTCTTGGAGCAGACGTACAAGCATGCTGGACCGTGGAGGCAGTGATGTGCAGCATTCCCACAATGCCAGAGCACAGAGCATTAGTGCTGGAAGCCACGCTGTCAGGCCGGCTGCACGCCTTTGCAGAGAGCCGACCAGCCATGGTAGAGCCTGTCTCTCTGCCGCTTTGTTTCTGTCAGTTTGACTGCAGCACTTTACGTGGCATTTCACCAGGTGCAGGCGCGTCACATCTAGTAGGTGTGTATCTACAGAGCGTGCGCTGACCCAGAGTAACCCCACTTGCTGTCTGCGCAGCTGCAGCCCAACTGCTGCTCCTCAGTTCTCCAATTTCTGAGCTTGAGCCGGGCAGAAGTGCGGCTCTCGCCAGCTTCCTCCTCGCTGTCTGCTCTGAGGTTGATCAATCTGATTTGGGAGGGCTTTTCTCACAAATGAGAGGACGGGAGCCCAGTGGGGGCCCATGGAGGAAGCTCACGGCATCTCGGGGTCCACAGAGGGAGTGCAGATGGGCCCTAGGGGCCCAACCCGGATGCTGCCCGATAAGCTCAAACCGGAAATGGTCCCGATGAAAAGAAGGACTGGAAGTGGCAGGGTGCTGGCCGAGAACAGGGCGACCGCTCTTCACACGCCAGAAAGCAACTTGGGGCACAGGGCTGGAGACACAGGTATCACACGGCCTGTGTTCTCACACACTAACTCTTTGGGGGGTGAAGGGTGACACGTGAGTGTGGCACTGTGTGTGTGTGTGTGTGTGTGTGTCTGTGTGCTGGCACTGTGAGTGTATGTGTACGTGTGAGTGGGTATCTGTTTCTGAGGAGGTGGAAGGTTATTGAACACATGGTTTAAAAAATCAAAGCGTGTGACAGAGGCTGCTGTATCTGTGCTTAGATGACTGGCACAGGGTTTACTCAGAATGAGAGGCGGGGGTGGGCCTGGGAGAGCAGGCACATCAAAGGTCTGAGACTCATCTCTGTGTGATGGTTGTGAATCAGGCCTCGAACTGAAACAATCTCAGAGGTTTCTGTAATCGTTCCCAGCACCACGTCTGATCATTCATTCATTAGCCTCAGCAATATCCCACAATGCAAATCTCCGCCTGCCACAGACAGCCTTGCTGGCAGCTGCTTCGTTTGCATTCTTTACATCCTCCGAGCCTCAACCTCCAACCTTTCAGCCTCTGTTTCCAGTGAAGAGATGGAGGACAAGAGAACACTGGAAGAGTGTTCTCTCTCTGCCATCCTGGAGACGTGGCGAGGAGGATGTGATGTGCTGATAGGGGCCCCTTGCTGTTCCTGGGGCTCCTGAGA